ACTGACATGGTGTTGCCACTGAATGTCAGCAATCCTTCGGAGACAGCGATGATCGAACACAGAGAGTCGTCTAACGTCCTCAACTCGGAGAGGCCAGGTTTCACAAGCATAGAGCAAAACTGCTCTCACCGACGCGTTGTAGATCCGGCCTTTTACAGCCAGACTAACATCACGAAGGCGCCAAAGGTGGCCCAGATTGGCATAAGCCGCTCTGGCTTTCACTATTCGTGCATTGATCTCATCACTCACACCCCCACCAGCACTTATGCAGCTACCCAGATACACGAACTTCTCAACTACGTCTATCTGCTCACCGTCCAGGGTGAGTACAGAATTAGAATCCTGGCAGTCTTGTAGAAGTACTTTGCACTTCGAAGGTGCAAAGCACATACCATACCTACGGACATTGATTGCCAACTGATTAAGTGCGGATTGCATGCCTTGGACATTATCGCACAGTAAGACAATACCATCGCATGTTCAAGGTCGAGAAGTCTTTCTCCAGGCAACAGATCCACACCGCCATTACTTACATCCATCAGAGCTGTTTCCAGAATGTCATCGATGGCAAAGTTGGAGAGGAATGGTGAGATTGGGCAACCCTGCCTAACCCCACTGCTCGAATGGAACAATGGAGAGAGGTGGTTGTATGCCCTCACTCTACCTGAGGTGCTTTTATACAGGGCTTTTAGGATGTTAATAAACTTCTCAGGCACACCCTTCTTCAATAGACAATCCCAGAGAACAGTCCTATCCAACGAATCGAAGGCAGCCCTGATGTCAAGAAACACTACGATTGTTGGCCTTTGATAAGTATGGCGGTGTTCTAACATTTGGCGGAGGGTGAAGATATGATCAATACATCCTCGACCAGAACGAAACCCAGCCTGCTCCTCGCGAGTCAATCTTTCTCGGGTTTTGAACAACCTACGAAGAATGACGGAAGCCAATAGCTTGGACGCAATCGGAAGTAAACTTATCCCCCGATAGTTGTTACAAGAACGACGTGAACCCTTTTTAAAGATAGGGACAACTATCGACTCATTCCATGACGTTGGTACACTCTCTAGTTCCCAAACCTTTGTAAACAACGTCGTCAATTCCTTAGTCAAAAAGTCACCACCATCTTTAAAAAGAGCCGGAGGTAAGTCATCTGGGCCAGGTGATTTGTAACGCCGGAGCAGCAGGCCAGTTGAACTGCCCTTCGAAAAATTCTGCCCATCGTCCAAGACGTCGATGGATGTTAGTGATTGGCATCCCATCATCCTCGCAGATTGTTTCACTCACACCAGACTTCTTGCTGCCAGTGGCTCGGATGAGTTGGAAGAGCTTCCGGTAGTTACCAGATGCAGCTGCTGCTTCCAGCTCATTAGCACGCATCGACCACCAGGCTTCTCGGTCCTTACGCAAGCTTTGCCCGATTTCCTTACGTAACATCCTTCGTTTATGGTCAAACTCACGGTCACCCGGAGTAGACCGACGGGCTTCAATGAGTTGTAAGGAACCAGAAGAAACCCAGTGCTTAAAAGCGGGACGTTTCGCAAACCCACAACTGACTGTTCCCGCCATTTTCATGGCGTCATGCAATTGCAACCAATGCTTATCTATACTTTTCGGTGGAGTGGTAGCTAGCCTAGAGGCTAGCTCGGTTCGATACTTACTTGCAACAGAAGTTGCAACCAGCTTGCTAACATCAATCCGTTGATGGCGTTCACTTCGTTGTCCACTGAAAAGTAAGGCAAGATTGGCGCAGACCAAGGCATGGTCAGAGTCCAGATAGGTACTCCAAAAGGAGCGGCAGTCTTGTACACAACCACGCCAGCGGTAGCTGATCGCGATGTGATCAATCTGAGTCCAGGCTTGAGATGCAGAGGGAGGACGCCAGGTGGCACATCGGCGATGACTGTGCCGAAAGTTAGTGCTAGCCAGAAACAGGTTGTGGTCTGTGCAAAGTTGCAGTAGACGGTCCCCGTTATCTGACCTGCGACCAACGAGTCCCCATCGGCCACCTAAACGACTCTCTTCTGTGCCTAGACGCCCGACCTGAGCATTCAAGTCTCCGGCTAGTACTACAATATCTGTCGAACGCACTTTCTGGAGAAGAACTGATAACTGGTGGTAAAACTCATCCTTGATTGCATCCGGGCTGCAATCTGTCGGGGCATAGGCGGAGATGACGAAAAGACATCGTTTCTCGCGCCGATTTCTTCTCACTTTGATGGAACTTTCTAATCTAACAGCACATAACCGACTGTTAATGGGGATCCAATCGACTAGTGCTGCCTCAGCTCTAGCGCTTAGTGCGACACCAACGCCTGCAAGACCAGACGAAGATGCCACAGGGTCCCCGGATAAGCGCACGTAAAACAAGCTTTTCGAAGCGACAGATGGAGATCGAATTTGTAGTACTTCGCCAGAGTCTTGAATACGGGTCTCGGATAGACAACACACGTCGATATTAAGACTTTCCAAAGACATAGCCAGCCCTATCTGTTGTCCGACCTGCATAAATGTGCGAACGTTGAAGGCAGCCAGTTTGAATGGCGCACGTGGTTTCAGAAAATCTGCTTCAGTCCTCGTATTCGGTGGTAACATACAATTTTCAACCGGACAGTGACTCGAGAACGTTTAGATACAGTCGGAATTCCACCAAAGACGAGCCGCTGTATAAGTATGAAAGAGGGTGAATAATGTGGAAAATAATAATAATAATGATAATAATAACAATAATGACAATAATAGTAGTAATAATAATATTAGTATTAATAATGACAATAATTGTAATGATAATAATCTGAATCAATTGTTTGTTTTTCAAAGCGACAAAAGTAATTTCCATAGACATAAAGAGTTCATCATTTGTGTGTGGGCTGTGATACTGCCCGGGTGCCCAAACCGAAGCAGGTGGTTATCTTAGGGGGCCACTCCCCGAGCCTTTGACCTAAAGGTCTAACCCAAAAGGCAGTGGAGCATCGTAAGGAGATGCAGTCCCATGGTAGCCGGTGACCAACGATTGGTTCATACGCCATTCGTTCCCGCAGGGTACTGGAGCCCATGTGCACCATTGATTTGGAATCCGGTTAAAGCGCCGGACATTCGCTTTTCGTCCTCTCATTTTCGTAAACAACACCCCCGCCACGAGAAGGCAATGAGTAGGACTTCCCTGACAGAGGCTGTATACGCGTGGCCGTGTGAGAGTATTTCGAGAGGGAGAGCGGACTCTCCCCACTCTCGGCCGTACCAGGGCATTCAGAGGGCGTTTAGATCTCCCATCAGGATGGTGAGGTCCTTTCTTAAGCAATTCTCTATGTTTGACTGCAGCCTATTATAGAAATGATCTTCATCGTCGTCATTGCTATTACTGGTGGGTGCAGAACATTGGATAATATTCATTGTGATCCCTTCCTTCTTTGTTTTGAATGATGCTTTGATGATTGTGGATCCGTGAGATTCCCATCCTACAAGTGAATTTCGTGTTACTTTGGGCAGCATTAGAGCAGCTCCCTGAGTGTGTGGAGCATTTTCCTCTTCGTGACCGGAGTATAGCAGCATCTCTCCTGTATTTAGCCTTTTCTGTCCAGCTTAGGTCCAGTGGGTTTCGCTGATTCCCAGTACTGTCAAGTTGTATCTCCTCACTTCAATTACTATTTGACTGGTCCTTCCGGTCTCCCACATTGTCCGGACGTTCCATGTACCTATAAAAGCTGTTGCTCTGGTTGTTAGAAGGGGCATCGGCCTCGTGACTTCCAAAGGAACTCGGCTTTCACCATGAATCGTCATAGTTCTTCTAAGTGAAGACCTTCTAGATCCCAGGGCAGAGTTTAAATGGTTTGAATTATTTTTTTTCTGGTTAGCGTTCTTTTGGCGAGTTAGTTTTCTACAGTATGGGGTCTCAAACCCCATGCCCAACCCTCGTCATTTACCCGGGCTTGGAACCGGCAGTAACCCTAGAAGAGCTACAGGCGGGGTTCATTGTAGTCTATTGTGTAATAAATGTTGCAGAAATTGAGTTAGGTATTAGATCAGTTAGTCGAAAATCTAGACGAATATAGTGTTGTAGATTTCGTGAGTTTTAAAGAAAATCTTATGGTCAACATATTTACTCATTCAAATTAATCATTCACTTTCGAGTAATTTCTCTACCCATCATGTAATAATTTGAAATATCATTCAATCAGTGCATAGTGATTTAAATATCACCAATCATGTTGTTCTGAGTAGATCAGTGTTTATGTATCTGAAACTGAGATACTCGGATTTAAATCTCATGTGAATTGTTCATGCCTTCATGATTCCAGATACGTCATACTGGCATATACAAACTAAGAGAAAATCTAGGTGGAACATGTGGAGTTAACACTGTGATATCATAGCGTTGTACATTGCATGGATTTACTTAAAGTGTGATACTCACCAACATAAACAGAATATCACGATTTACACATTAAATCAATACGTCAACATAAATTATATACAACCACAATCACGAATCGCCTCTAACTATTATCCTTGCTTACTTTATATTTAGAATAAGAGATACGAGGATATCGTTTAACTATGATTGTCAAATCTAATTAAATGTTTGTGCAAATGATGGCTCTGAACAATCAATTTCATCGATTAAAATATTATTTTGTGGCGTTGGTAAATCAACCTTGTAAATTCATCTACTGAATGATAAATCAAGTAGTTTAGTTCTACTTTTATAGAAAAGCATTTACTTGGATTACAAAATTCACTAAAATCCACACTGTAACGCGAAAATCAAACATAGATCACTTCCATTCTTATGGCATACGTTGGTGTTTGACAAAATCTCAGCACGGATTCAGAAAGCTCGTTTGGCTTTTACCAACTTACGTCACCTATGGCGAAGGCGAGATATCCGTCTATCAATTAAGGGACGAGTATACTTCGCGGCAGTTCGTTCTGTTCTACTTTACGGCTGAGAAACGTGGCCGTTTAGGGTAGAAGATACTCGTAAGTTACTAGTATTTGACCACAGATGCCTTAGAAATATTGCTTGCATCTACTGGGATCACTGGGTGAGTAATATTGAGGTTAGACGCTGGGTATTAGGGAATGATGGTAAAGCAGTTGGTGAGGTTGTGAATCTTCATTGACTGGGATGGTTACATACGCCTGAACACCGACCACTACGATGCGCAACGCTGACTAGTGTTGTAAACGGATGGAAGGAAGTTGGGGGCGACATAACCAGAACGTGACATCAATCCATAAAGTTACTAACTTGTGGTGTGAGCCATGTTAATAGAAGTGGACTAATTAGTTGGGGTCCGCGTGACATGGCTGAGAATCGACCACAATGGCATAGGTGTATAAACTTTCTGTCTTCCCTTAAAATCTGAGATTAAAATTGCTTCATATCTTTCTACCGACTAATTCTTTCTTTCTGTACTACATCCTTATATGCAATCTTTCCTTAATACATTACTACCATCGAAGTAACTACTTCTCTGAATTCGGTGTTCATCTTGTTGTGCTAAGGAGGTATGGCAACTTCGACCGATGCATATACGTGCCTGGTCCTACGATGTAACTGGTTGACTGTACGTCAAGATTATGTATGAACCAATTGAAATCTGTGCCACTACATATATTTATTTATCTATTTATTTATTTATCTATATACCTACACACATTTTATATCTGAAGCCAAGTTACTAAATTATCACTTCATCACATTTTTAAATAAGGTCAAAAGTATGACACTCTTGTTGATATAAATAGTGTCTGTTTTGGAATTAGAAATTATTATAAGGTAGCACTGTGAAGACAATTAGTAAAGGGCTACTTAATTCATCCGCATACATATTTGAAATCTTTTAAAATATAATGATGAGTGAACGTAAACCATTAATCAATAATGCCGATATGTCAGATGATATGCAACAAGAGGCTGTTAATTGTGCTTCACGAGCTTTAGAGAAATCTAGTATCGAAAAAGATATAGCAGCATTCATTAAGAAAGAATTTGACAAGAAATACAATCCTACATGGCATTGTATTGTTGGGAGAAATTTCGGAAGGTTAGTAATATTTTGTAACTCGACATAAATATTTATTCATTATTAATATGTATTCAATGTTATTCACTCACTGTCTATGCCAAGACAGAAATCATTTGAGGTTATAATGTGGAGTTTGTAACAGTGTATAAGGAATTATGTAACTTTGCTTTTAGAAAATTTGTTAATGTATTGCTAACTGGTGTGTTATTTCCCTCATTGTTTACAGTCATGTGACGCATGAAACCAAACATTTCATCTACTTTTATATGGGCAATGTAGCAATTCTTCTATTCAAATCCGGTTAAGTTGGAGGAAACCGAAAATTCAAAAGAAATATCAACAGAAACTAATTCAAACATTGTAATACACATCTGCTCATTCTGCACGCAACTCAACTCAATCGTCTTCACAAACACGATCTTCTGTATTACTCATCAATTCCCGAATTCATCTTCATAAGAACCAACACAGAATAATATACAGTTTGAATGAAGACCACAAAACAGAACAGAATAAATATTATTATAACTGAGATTGTGTTTCCACATTGTCTTTTGTACTGGTTGATCCACTATCATATTATTGTCAGTGTGTGCTTTTGTGTGTGGTAATTTTATCTGTGGTGGTGTTTCAAAATCGAAAATGAAACATCTTCATTATTAGTAAACAATTGAAATAAACAGTTATTTGTGCAGAAGACCGAGAGTGTTTTCTCTTTATATCTCGTCATGTAGGTGTGTTTCAGGATGGGTAATATCATTGTCGTTTCTAGTTGCTATTGCATATATCTAGTTAGTTGATATGTAATATTAGGTAATTTTCGAATCGTATTTAGTGCACAGTCACTGTAGAAGAGGATCATGAGTGTGAGTCGTTAAATCAAAACGTGGAGAATATTTCAATGACAATTATGAATTGATAGGTTGGATCTTCATTGACGCACCTTCAGAATTGATGTATACAATGCACATATTCTGTGACTGTGGAACTTCTATGCAATTATCTAGCACTAACCAACCTATTGGAATCAATGCCCAAATATTTCAGATAACCTGAACTACTTATCGTTTCACTATATAAAGCCATCACAGACATTATAAGTGTATTCTTATATATATGTATCTAATAGAAGAACTTTCAGGTTATAAACTGCAGTATGTTTATTTAACTAGTAAAGATAGATTAAATTAGTATAGTTTCTCGATTACGTGATTAGATCATATACAAAATGTATGCTAGTTATGATCATTTAAATTGTGTATCATTTTATCAATTGTTATCAGACATATCAGGCAACTTATGATGATTAGGGGTATGAACTCAGAATCCCAGAAATAACGTAATCGGACCAAGAAGTACTAGATAAACCAAAAATGTATGTACTGTATTTAGAATTCGGAATTAAACATTGAACAAGTACAAAGGAATCATAAGTTTATTCATACACCACATCCGCCTCATCTTAAATTATAGTCAAAGTGTCTATAATCGATTGTACGTCTTCTCAAGTTCATCCTGTGTCTGTCCGACATTGTATTGGATAAAAACTCTGTATTATCTAGAATGTGCTCATTAGTATTGGAATTTACAACCGAAATCGGAACAGACTCACTTGGTTCCTGGGATTGTATACAATCAACGTGTTGGTTGTGTACCGCAACCACTATCTAGAATTTGAAGCATAGATTTCCCAACACTATATTCCCCCATGAAATAATGTTGAGTCTTTATAACTCTAAGTTATGAATGATGTGGCTTCATTTAAAACATATTTCTCAGATTGATCAGAGTAAACATTAGAATTGACTTCGTGATGAGGATAAACAGCAGTTGATATGAAATCATTCGAACTGTAATCAAACTCGAGCTCATTTAGTACTTGTGCTTCGCATTGAACAAGTTTCCCACAAGAAACAAATGCATTATGAGGACAAATAATATTTGATAGAACATGATGATTTGATTCTTCTGAAATAGTTTCCTCAAATTTATTAAGAATGTAGTTGCAGAGTAAAAGATCACTAGAAAAATCAGCATCTATCACAACTACATCACGTTTTCGATCATGACTAGGTTCATTCAATATATTTTCCTCAGATTTGCAAGAAATTTCGTCAGAAATAGGTGAATCATTGAGAAAAACCATATCTTGTACAATAACTTGAGAAATCTGATAAATCGATTGATTAGAAACTGTTGTCTCGCAAAGAATGTATTTAGAATTCGAAATCAAACATTCAAAAAGTACAAAGGAATCATTAGTTCATTCAAACACCACACAACCATGCATCTCGAATTGTTCCCAAAGATGAATGAGATGCCTACATATGCACTCTTCCCTTATTATCCCAGTCAATTCAGCTGCACATTTTGTCTGATTGTAGATCAATATATTCACCAAAATACTGATTGCCTATCCTCTCTATACGTATGCATGAAGATCATGTAAGAAAGAGAATGGTCGACTAGTCTAGTTCTCACTTTTTTCAATTGGAGGTGAACAGTTCAAGATTTCGGTTTTCGTAAACCAACTGTACACTTCATACTTACAAAACAAAAACGGTATCGAATATTCGTTTCAAAACATGAATAACGCGATAGACAACAAAGTGTGTGTGAATTACTTTGATTTGTTAAGGAATCGAAGCTCATATTCCACTAATACTCTAAATATTTTGTCCTTATAATCTGAGTATAGTAAGGGAATGTGAGATGAAGCAACTCTTTTCATTCCATGAAACGTTCGTCAAAATAGCATTCAAAATTACTTTAGTCTACATGCTTCACATGCTGACTCATGAGGGAAGTATTTATGAAAACCTATAATAATGACAAATGAATTCCTAAATGCTGATGTCTTTCATCCAATCACTGGTTTCGGTCGCCTTACACATCAAGATTGATTGGTGAAATGTGTCTCTGACCGAAGGAGATGTCAATGTTTCAGGCCTACATGAATATGGTGGTCGCGTATTTACCAGCACTACAAACATGATCACAATCCCATTGTAATCTTATCAAGTATGATGTAAAAATAGTATGTGTCGAGGTGAATCGGATCATAGGTACTGATGGCCATAACAACTCAATGAGCAACTCATACCACACTAGGGACGTTGAAAAGTTGTACAGTTCACTTTGATTTAATTTATCTCTGAAAACCATTACTACTAAATTCCTAAACAACTGTTCGCAATTCAGGTTTATGTTGTGAAGACAAAAGAAGAAGGATTATCTTGATAATTGAGAGAGATTGGTGAGTTTCATATTTCAATTCATTCAATCATTTCTAGTTTCGTTAGAACTGCCAATTACAGACACTCGATTTCCTCACGCAAATCCGAAACGCATGAACGCATGTAATTCAGCTCATCGAAATAGCACAATGTTCTATATTATCTTCTCACATGTGTTAGATAAATCAATAGTGGAAAATCCATGTTATTTGTTGCAACGTATCCATTTGTACAGCAACGGTTTATGTGAGCAAAATGAAATTCATTGGAGGAACAAATGATCAATAATGCATCAATAGGTACGTTTAAGAATTGTAGAAGTATTTGACCTCCTAAATAGATATCAATAACTGAGACGATTAATTCATCATAGAAACGTTTGGAACATATTCAACTGTTAGCATGAATCAAACCCATTATCATGAGATTATCACATAAACCAGATTAGTCTTAATTCGACAAAGTTCAACATTTGTGGAAGGTGTGTTGTATTTTTCTGTGTAGATAATTCTCATTAGAATTCGTGTACTGAACCTCTTGTCTATTGTGTAGATGCTTATCAATTAACCACATAGCACCTCGTTCTTATATTTTGTTCCTCATTTCAAACGAATACAATTACGGCCTTACCACCACCTAACTGCAACATGCTTGCGATTCGTCAACCGATGATAAACGAACCCTATTCATATCCTCACACTCCTGAAACTTTAACACACCCAATCGATTACTGCATTCCATTGTATTCTAACGAAAACTTTTCAGTGTTGACACATTTCAACATACTTTCAGCTGACTAGTCGAATAAAGTATGATGCTTTCGTTGTTACGATAACTTGATTTCATTGCTGTGGCTTGTACTGCTAAAACGGCTAACTCAGTTTGTTAGTAAGGTTGTATAATTAGTCCTTCTCATATGATAACTATGATCACAAACAAGCACATTGTTACTCAAATAGTGTTTATGAACAAACAAACAAACAATTCTGTTGTTCAGAATAGGTAGATTGTGGCTAGTGGTGGAATATAACGTGAGCGTTTCATCCAATATACGAAATGTCGGCTAGATGTACCGGCATCGAAATTGAGGCTTGATTATCAACAGTGTGATAACTCAAACCGTTATTCAAATTAGAACAGCGGCTAGCAGTGGAATCCAGAACACTCATTTATGTTAATTTGACATTTATCATTTTGATTTATCTGCATCCCAACTTCCATGGTAATATCAAGACAGTATGCTAAAATACACAGATTGCAAAAGAGGTTGTTCAGTTTCATTCCTTACTGCCGACAACCAGGAGGTTCAACTCGTTGAAGCTGAATCCTACACTCTCTAACTGCCAAACCTTTGTCGGTTCCTAAACTAGAAATTCAGTGTCGTCTTTAAATATGGTCGGAGCTAAGTCATCTTGGCCTAGCGGTTTGTACCGCTTTAAGAGTTGGAGT